TACAAAAGATATTATCTTCACAAAATCTAGAGTCACTCCCAAAGATCGCCAAAAGAGAGAACCAACAATGTACTAGTCCTGGGCAAGCAGAAAGCCAAGCCAAACTCTTAGGATACAACACAAGACAAGCAAGAAGGCAGTAGCTATCCCTGGGAGAGAAACAATCAATGATCAATGGGTCTGGATTTGGAAAAGAAGGTACAACGTGAAATTTTATTTTCCTCTATGGACTGAGCACTACAGACAGAGATCTGGGAGAGCTGACTCTGGTAAGAATTCTCACCCTTAGCCAGCTTCTGCCCGTTCTTGGGTGTTTTTTTTTCGGGATCCCATCTGTAGGTTCTGAGTGGGGTTTAGAGTGAGGAATGTAGCTCTGATATGTATCAGAATTTGGCAAGGTTTTTTATTAATTTTAATTTTAGTTTCCCCTTAGCTGTTTAAGGGAATAATGTAGCAGTTTACCAAAAAAATCCCTCAGAGTCTCGTCAACTCCAGGCGGAGCCCATCAGGAGCCCTCCTTTAAAAGTAGATATGGGGTATCTGTAAAGCCATTAACTTGGCATACTTTTGTTTATAGTTGCATAAAAGCAATTTAGACAGAGGATAACTGCAATGAGTATTCAACTAAAGGAGGATAAAGGGGAGCAATAGGAATCACATCTGCCCTATTGTCTTTTGTTTTAGGTACACCTTGTGTTTTTAATTTTTCATTAGCCTTTTACATCAAACCTTTCAGTGAGGTTATTTTGGAATTTTGAAGTCCTTTGGAAGTTTCTACATACTAACTAAAATAGGTATCCCATTCTATTTGTTTAATTTGGGAACTCTTACTTTTAAGTGAACTTCTTAAATGACACTATCTAATTGGAACGTTCCTTCTAGCCATTGTAATTTCCCTGAGGGCTGGCAGCAGCTTGGTAGGACCCTTAGCCACAAATGAGTTCAGCCTACATTGCTGTCCAGCCATATCTAGCCTCAAATGGGGTACACCCCACATTTTTGTCCAGCCATATTTTGGGGCCCCCAATCTGACAGTTACCAAACCAAGCTCTCAGAACACAAAACTTTTAGGTGGTCTTCAGTAAGATTTTGCCATTTTTGTAGTTACTTATAGCTTCTGAGACCACAGTTCTTAGACATAAAATAAGCAGGTGTGCCAGAAAGAGGCACGCTTAACTCTTTGGATTTTAAGGATCTCATTCTTTACTTAAAACAAAATTTTATTCACCCAAGGCCTCACACTGGACCCAATCCAGCTCAAATCAAACCCAGTCCAATCCCAGACCCAGTGTGATCCCAGACCCAGTCCATGGAAAAACAATGTTCCAAAGTATTCTTTGAGTGGCTGCTCCCTAACCTAATGAAACTCAAACTGATGTTATTTAATTGTAGATTCCCACTACTTTTAAACTCTCCTCAACCTCATGCCCACCAACTCACAAAAATTGGTGAGTTTACAGATGCATCTTTGCAACTTAATACTGGCAGCAGCAAAGACCAACACAGAAATGCTTGGAAGCATTTTATGATCGTAGAGACTAATGCAAGGACTTTTTAGTTATAAAATCATCACAGATCGTTAAATCCATTCTGTAGTCTTAAAAGCAAGAAGAATCTTTTTGGAAACACAGTAATGAAGCATGCAAAACAAAAAGAACAATGTGAAGATACAGCAGAAACAAAGATTGGCATCATTTCTGGGCTAATCAAGCAATGAGTGAAAAGAATTAAGGGTAATTTATGCAATGAATATTTTTCTTGTACTTTGTCTCATGCTTTTTTTTTTTTTTTTTGGTGAGGAAGATTAGCCCTAAGCTAACATCCGTTGCCAATCCTCTTTTTGCTGAGGAAGATTAGCCCTGAGCTAACATCTGTGCCCATCTTCCTTTATTTTGTACATGGGTCGCCACCACAACCTGGCTTGATGAGCAGTATGTAGGTCCGTGCCCAGGATCCAAACCCACAAACCCCAGGCCACCAAAGTGGAGCACGCGAACTTAACCACTATGCCACTGGGCTGGCCCCTCATGCCTTTTTTAAACTTCTCTTTTTACCTTTTTTTTTTAAGTTGGTGTCTCTCATGTTCTGAACTAGTATAACTAAGGAGAAGCCACAATAAAAACATAAAAGAAACATGGAGAGAATAACAGGTAATAGCTGCATTTTCTACTGTTGCTTTAGAACTGTTAATTTATATTTTGCACCACTTCTCCTAAGATAAATGGCAAACAGATTCAAAATGGGACCCAGAAGAATGAGAAGATTATTAGTGGTCTAATCTATTTGGCAGAGCACTACATTGACAACAGCGGTGAGACCCAAACTTTTTATTATATATTCCTTCACTTAAAAACTTAGCATATTTTATATATATATATATGTTTTATACATATATGTATAAATTTCATACATATTCTACTATATTGATATAATTTATAAAATATATATGATACACAAAATAGAAATTTTTAAAATGCTGAGATTAAAAATATAGAAATAGAAGCTCTAATTTTTTGTTGAATCCAAAAGATTTTCCTATACTCCCTGGGATGAACTAGATTGGACTAGAGAATTACAACTTTTAAGGTTTTCTTTGCATCTTTAAGAAAAGGTAGAATACACAGAAGACTTGGACCCTTGAAGTTTAATTTACTACTTGAAAACAACTCAGGTTTAATCTAACAAGTTAGTGTACGCATGAATGAATGGTTACATTTATGCTATTATGATGAAGCGCTTTCCCTTGCTTCAACAGCAATTATGGAGAAAGAGTGCATTTGTTTTTAATATCAGATAAATTGGGCCCAGGATTGAGTTTACTGAGTAACATCATAACTCAAAGAAACGTTTTACTTGGTATGTACTACTAACCAATCATAATTAGTAATTATTAATAATAATCATAAGTAGGCTTTACACAGGTATGGTAGATTGTTATCATATCAACTAGATTATCCACTTCTTAGAGAGTGCATCTTCTAACACTTTATTTCCCCAGTGTATATAGCATCCTGTGTATGGTAGGTGCTCATGAACATGTTAACATTATGATTTCTCTTCATCGTACTTGCTCAGGCACTTGGGCAACCAACCTTGTCTCTGTTTTGCAGATTTGATGAGCCTGCGTCTGTCCCTGGCATGACAATTTCCAGTCATTTACTTTTGACAGTTGCTAAAGGAAGTCTGCAAATAAACACATGCTAACAAAGCTAAAAAAATCAATCCACCCGTCAGTACTTTGACCTTATACAAGTGTTGATATCACCTTAACAATTTTTCTTCTCACCATACTCTTACTTCTCTCTCTTACCTAACTCACAATTTAGCAACCACAGATTGTAACATAAGGGGTTGAAATAAATAAGGGGAGAAAGTGGGGAGGAGGTTGCTTGAAAAACAGAGGAACTGCCTCATAATATTTATTCTCTAGAAGAAAAATAATTCCCCAGAAAGCCTTCCAACTAGGAAACATCTGATCTCCTCCCTGAACTGTTATCTAGTTTCTGCCTAGACGTGATTTGTGGTTTGTTTGGTGTTGGGGGGGGGGGGCGGGTAGGTGACCAGTATAATTTACCTCTAAGGTTCTTTCCATTTCTAAGACTGATTCAGAACTGGAGAAAATAGCGGAGCCCAACACACCAAAATTCTGGATCCCCCCACCCCACCTCCAAAAGAAAAATCCTCGCCCTCTATTCTACTCTCCCTTTTCGGGATGACCTAGTTCTGCAAGGAGGAAAAGCAGCACTGGGGTGTGCCAGTGTGAGCGAAGGTACTATTCTTGACATAAGACCCCAAGGCAGACAGAACAATGCCCGAGCCAACTGGCCTCAGATCATTTCATAAATTCTGGGGGATTTTGAATCTCTGTCCTTGGCCCCGAGTAAACTAACCGGGGAAAGCAGACTGGCCAGGGAGAGAGACTGAAAAAGTGGACCGAGCCCCGCGGCAATATTTCGGATGCAGGGGAACGCTGGGCCGGGCAGGCGTGGAGTCTGGTGCTTATTCTCTGGGACTGGGACACAGCCGGCTTTGAATAAGAACATTAACTCTACAGCACCATAGTTTGGTCTCCGGCCTGGCCTCCAGTCTGTGGCACTCGGCCATTCGTCTCCGCCAGCCAGGCCCTGGCGCTGGCCCTGGTTTCCGCGATACAGGGGATGCCCATCAGCTGGCAGTCACACCTGTTAGGTATTTCTTTACCCGGTGCCTCCGCCCCAGCAAACGCCGCCCGCACGGCCCGGGCTGCGAGTGCAGAGCGGGGGAAGGGGGCGGAGAAGCAGGGCCGGGCGCTCCTCAGCGGACCCCCCGCGGGACTCAGCCGGGAGGGCTGGGCGGGGAGGGGCTGCGAGGCGAGAGAGGTCAAGGCAGGCGGAGAGGGGCATGGGGAGGGCCGGGGGAAGGGGCGTCTCTGCCGGCGTTACGCTGCCGGAGCCCGCAGCGGAGGCGGCGGGGCTGAGCCGCGGAGGCGATGGGGTTTGCACCAGCCTCCGTATTTCTCCTCGCAGCCCCCGCACCGCCGCCCCTCGCCGGGCCGAGGCGCCCGTTAGGCCGCGCAGGGTGAGCGCGGGCGCCGGCCGGCGGT